GGATGCCAGAAAAGAGGATTGCTTTCACTTGTCAATTTCATAAGTTGTATCTCTGTGCTAATGACGACGCTTCTCGTTGACGATACCGGCGAAATGCCGGGGAATGCATCAATCGAACAGTCCGATGCTAGAAACCATGAATAATATAATAGAGGACGCAGGGATAGATAAGTTCTACTAGGTCTCACTGTTGCTCATACAAATTTGGGATAACGAAGTCAAACTAACACTTTACAGCGAAAGGAGACTGTGGCCACGCAAAAGGCCACGCAACCTTGGTCTTCATAAGAACGAAAACGTCTTATAGTCGATATTGACTACAGGTGAAATATTTTTTGCAGATTTACCTTGTAATTCAGGGCCCAGTGTTATTATAAGAACACCTAAGAGACGAGCCAAACAGTGATGTATTTCGGTCATGCCTGACGGGGAACGCAGGAGCATTTGAAGCACTAGACTAAGGCTGGGTTCTACATAATCACGAAACATCGGGCCACCAGAGTCAGCTGTCAATGTTAGCGCATGAAGAGCCCAAACCTTTCGGTATGAAAATAAAATAAGCGGAATGGAGATAAAGACATTAAAACCCGCAAAGATAATTAAAATGCAAGCAATTAAAGTAACAAATTAGGAAGAAATAAAGCTGCCCTTTACAAAGATAACAAGGCATGAGATACAGCCATTAGTAGCATAAATACAATATCTACCAGGGATATTGATAAAAAAAAGAAATCTGCTATAGCAAAGTGAATATGCACGTGGATAAATCGATTATATATATATATATATATATATGATGTTAGGAATATAAGAGCAAAAGACTACCACTTTAATAGAGATCGCAAATTTAGATCATAAACTCCTAAAATCATACTGACTGTATTGTGCTTAAAAATACTATAAGTGGCCTCATTTAGCAATTACCATCAGATAAAAAAATCTATCCCACATCGATACTTACCAATACTTAAAGCTAGATAATAAATCTTACTTGAACCGCAGGTGCGCTGGTATCCTGGGCTATTGATAGAAGAACACCAACGCTGGTTGAGAGGTGTTGGCCCGAAGCTAAACCACCGACGTAACGATGAAGGCAACCGAGAGCCAGACAGTGTCCTGCCCGCGTAAGACTGTCCCGCAAGGTACGCAAACGTTCTAGACTCTGTTGCGCAAGTTCAGCAAGAAAACGTGTCTCCCCCACAACCTGGGCGAGTCGACCAAGACACTCTCCAGCCGCGCATCGTAACAGTTGATTGGGAGTGACAATAGCTGACTGGTGTCGTAAATAATAACAATTGAAGTAGAAAAGGATGCAATTCAAACAGATGAGCAAGCAAAGTTTTGAGTCATTGATATTTAAACGGACGGGAAGAGTGTGTGCGTGTGTGAGAGAGAAAAAGAAAAAGAGTCATTCGATTTGGTGTCTCGAGACAAGAGGAATAGCATAACTTAAAGGGGATTAAGAAATAAAATTATTAAATTTTGAGCTAAATGGCAAGTTACGATTAAGTTAATATAAAAGTATGTAACGCCAGGTAGTAAAAATAGATTCGGATGTCATAAAGCTGGAAGGATCATAAATATAAAAGCGCACAAGGTTTTAGATTTTAAATAGGAAGCTATTTCAAAGCGTGATTTTACCACAAACCTTATTTAATAATTAAATCAGAAAATGGAAAAGAAATAATAGAGAGTTCTACAAGATGTCGTATGAGCAGTAATGTTGTCCGTGAGTAGCAAAATAGAGGCCACATTAAAATTCAACCGAAAAATAAAGTCTTCCAGTAAATTGATTAAATGAAGAACAAATAGGGGTGAGTTACGAAAACTAGATTAAACCCCTTTTATACGGCAAAAGGAGAGGCTACACTATCTAGGTCTTTATATCTACTATCTATATTTAACTAACTTGAAGGGAGCCTAAAATCGCAAGTAGAATTCTCTACCATAGTTGTTTAGATGCATGTAGTTAATGAAAAAAGATAGGAATAGGAAAGTATGCCACCGATCTTGGCCAAATAAAAATAACCTAGAAGATACCCTGTGTGTTTTCGGACTTCTTAAATAAACTAAAAACAAAATACTTAAGATTATTAATGTCAGAAGAAAGGACCGGAATGTATCATGAAATGCTTATTTAAAATGTGTAGGGCTACTCATAAAAGTATAAAGAGGTATGACCTCTAAACATGTGATCGAAATATAGCTTGTAAAATTCAAATCATTACCAGATATAATCAAAACCAAAAATGTCTCATGGACGATGTAAATGAGCAATAAATTAGTCAAGATAAAAGCTTTGTATCGTTGTGGTAGCAGAAATGAACGCTGATAAGATATCTAATCTCAGCGTGCATCTAAACGATTAATTGTGATGGCTCTAAATTTTTTCAATGGAAGGATAGCTAAGGGTAAAACTGTAAGTGTCAGGAGGAGGCCTACAAAAATCAAATTGATGGTTGATTTTCGGAGCTCTGTATCCTCGCCAAACGATGACTTTGTTTCGGCCAAGCGACGCAGGGCGATCAGGAGAGCCGCGATTACGTTGCATTGAATGGCCTCCTGGCGAGTAGACTTAGATAGCCGTATGCAGTCAGCACAGTGGTCCAGCACTTGTAGGCGATGACGGCCAGGTACCGCAGGAAAAAGCAGGCCAAACAAGTCGATTGCTGCATCAATCACTGCACTACTCGCTGGCTGCGGCCCGCCATATATCGCAGAACAACTGGCTCCAGACAGAGCAGAGAAGCTGGCAGCAGCAGATTCGAGAAGAGGCAAGTAGGCGGCAGAATGGCCGCCGCCAACTCCACCAGCAACAAATGGAGGATGTGGAGAAAGCCAGGTTGAATCGAGGCTACTACCGGGGCCACTAGGACATAGTGGAAAAGTGACAAGCCGAAAAAGACGCGCCACGCCTAGAACTGAATTAGGCTCCCCTGGAAGAGCAGCTAATGCAGTGGAGGCATCGGCAGACTATACAAAGAAAAAAAATTAATGAATTTGGGCAAAAAACACTATTTATTTAGATCAATTTTAAAATTTAATTAAATCTCATTTAGAGGGTATGAAGACCAGGATGATGTGGCCTATTGCATGTCGCGATCTCCTTTCGTTGTGTAGCAGAATTGTCTTGACGGAAAGTTGGTCAAGAGATTGACTCTATTTGTCACTTTGATGAGTTGTAGCTTGGTTGCTGAAAATGGCAAGACTCACTGATGATGCCGATTACAATGCCGGCGAAACGTCTGGGAATGTACCAAGTTCATGGTCTAACTCGGGAAATTATCATGCATACTATGGATTTCGGACAAGGAATGTACTCAGCTAAGGTCTCCCTGACGCTCCGACCAAATTGCGAAAACAAGGTCGAACCCTCACTATAAAGCTAGAGAGGACTGCGACCAAATAGGCCACATCATCTTGGTATTCATATCCATGATAAAACATTTTAATCTAGCATTATGACGCGGTAAAAGTACGTAGAAATAAAATAGTTGATTGTTTTGGGCTTTTTGACAAGGCATGATGCCATGGTGACAAGAGTTTAAGGCATCAAAGAGTTGATCGTCTGTTGAAGGAATCGCTAA